TAGCAGAAGTCAAAAACACGAAAATACAAATAGACGTACCTCCACGAGGGGTTGACGGTTTCGTAAACGGTTTGTCGGAGCATTTTCGGGACGTAAAGTAGTATCCAAACAAGTCTTCATTGATGGAAATCGATGCACAGGAAGGTCTTGGGCAGAGTTTAGCAGAAGTGCAAAAACACGAAAGTACAAATAGACGTACCTCCACGAAGAGTTGATGGTTTCGTAAACGGTTTGTTGGAGCGTTTTCGGGACGTAAAGTAGTATCCAAACGAGTCTTCGTTGAAGGAAATCGAGCACAGGAAGGCCTTGGGCAGAGTTTAGCAGAAGTGCAAAAACACGAAAATACAAATAGACGTACTCCACGAAGAGTTGACGGTTTCGTAAACGGTTTGTCGGAGCGTTTTGGGACGTAAAGTAGTATCCAAACGAGTCTACGTTGATGCGAATCGAGGCACAGGAAGGTCTTGGGCAGAGTTTGGCAGAAGTGCAAAAACACGAAAATACAAATGACATACCTCCACGAAGAGTTGACGGTTTCGTAAACGGTTTGTCGGAGCATTTTGGGACGTAAAGTAGTATCCAAACGAGTCTACGTTGATGGAAATCGAGGCACAGGAAGGCCTTGGGCAGAGTTTAGCAGAAGTGCAAAAACACGAAAATACAAACAAACATACCTCCACGAGGAGTTGACGGATTCGTAAACGGTTTCTTGGAGCGTTTTGGGACGTGAAGTAGTATCCAAACGAGTCTACGTTGAAGCGAATCGAGCCACAGGAAGGTCCTGGGCAGAGGTTGGCATTAGGGCAAAAAGACGAGTCACGGCATTGCCCGAAAATGACGTACTTCCTTTGCGGGCTACCTTCAAAATGCAAGGTAGCCCGCAAGGGAAGTACGTCATTTTCGGAAATTTCCGTGACTCAACTTGTGAGTCATTCCTTTTGATCAGCGGAATATTCACCATTATCCTCACAACTTCTCAGTACCTTCCTGCAGTCCGTTTCGCTTGAGTGTGGACTCGATTCAATACCTACGCATTCCACGAACAAGCTCCACAAAACCGTTTACAAAACGGTCAACTTCCCATGGAGGTAAGTATCACTTTGTATATTCGCATTTTTGCACTCATGCTCACAAGCTCTCAGTACCTTAATCTGGACCGTTTGGCGTGTGCGTGTGCTCGTTCGGATAGCCCCAAGTCCCTGAAACGGGACCACCAACCCGTTGTGAAATGGTTGAGGCTCGTGGGAGGTAGGTCACTTTGTATATTCGCTTTTTTGCACATATCCTCACAAGCTCTCAGTGCCTCATTCTGGTCCGCTTGGCGTGCGCGTGGGCTCGTTCGGATACCCCCAAACTCCATGAAAATGGTCCACAAAACCGCTTTCAAAATGGTTAAGGCCTTGTGGAGGTAAGTCACTTTGTATATTCGCTTTTTTGCACATATGCTCACAAGCTCCAGTACCTTAATCTGGTCCATTTGGCATGCACATGTGCTCGTTTGGATACCCCCAGACTCCCTGAAAACGGTCCACCAAACCGTCTGTGAAATGGTTGAGGCCTCATGGAGGTAAGTCAAATTGTATATTTGCCTTTTTGAATTTATGCTCACAATCGCTCAGCACCTTAATCTCATCTGTTTGGCATGCATGTGGGCTTGTTCGGATACTCCCAAACTCCCTGAATATGATCAACAAAACTGTTTATGAAAAGGTTGAGGCCTTGGTTGATTGTTATACATTGAATATAAAGAAATATAATTGAATGGGGTTGATAATACTGTGGAAATGTTGAGGAAGCTTGCAAGAACAGGGCTAGCAAATAATTTGAGTAAAGAGAGAGCAGAGGCATCACTATTCATATGCTTAGGGTGCTAAAAGCAAGTGTTAAGCAAGGATTTGGTAGATTTGACTAGAAAATACAATGAGGAGGATGAGGCATTCAACTGTGGGAAGAAATCATTTTCGTGGGAGAAAGTCAAATTTCAGCGTTACCGCGCTGAAAAAAGTCTCGAGATCCCAGGTAATAAACGAGTCTCTTCGTAAACTCAGAGGACTCGTAACATGTGCAAGTTCATTACTCATCACGGATCTAGGCGAACATAATGCGGAACACACCACTGTTCCTTGGACGATGTGGCCCAACATGGCATTCAAATTGAAGAAGGTCATCGCCGGGTGGGACTCCGATGTGGTTGATATAGCTTTCTGTAGGGCTTTCGCGTATGGGAAGATCAGTAACAAGCAGTGGTGCCATCTCTCGAGACTCATTCTCGAAGGTGTTCTCACTATCAAAGACTGGACAGCAGGTAAGCGAGCTTTGTTCGCCAATTAACTCGTATGTATTCATGACATTCTTTAGAGCAGAAACAGATTCCTGAAACCGATGCTCGCTTTGGCGAAATTCCTGTCGTTCTCAACTTACGTAGCTTGCCTATGGTGTTTATCAAAGACTCCTCCAACTGGGTGCGCCAGAACTGCAAAATCGACTCAGCAACTCCATATACGCCACACGCTCCCTCTGCTGCTTCCTCTCCTGCTCTTCTTTCATCCAAGAAGTGCACCTACGAGGATCTGTCCCTGGTTACTGAAGAGAATGCAAGGAGAGAGCATCGTAGTGTTTCCACTCCTGCGCAAAATGAGATGGAACCGCCGGCAAAGCGCCAGCGTCATGTTACGTTCTCCTCTCTTCCAACGACCATGTTCTATATGAAACATCGGCAAGAACAGTTATTACAGAAGAGTACAGCTCGTCATTCACCATTCAACCAACCCTCTTCATCGTCATCGAGCCAAGCTACCCTTGCTTCAAAGCCACCTGCAAACCAAGTCACCAAGTCTATCTTAGGAGGTCGTTACAAGGGCAGTGCTGGTCCTAGTAAAAACTCTACTGGTTTCCTGAAAGATTGATCATGCATCGGTTATCCTATGATGAGGCAAGTCTTTTCTTCTTTCCATGTACTTCCACGATACTGATTGATCTCAAGACTGCTTGACTACTAAGCTCTTGAACTCTTCATTTACCTTGGCTTATATAACTTTTGACTTGTTAGCACCTTGAACACTTTCATTACGTACCATAACTGGGGTTTTTTTGGAGGGATCTTTTATTGCCCATAATGCTTCTTTAACTTTTGGACTTTTAACTTCCCTTTAGTTGCGACAATGATATTTCAAAGTTTACTTTACTGATTGTCTTATAGTTACATAGATTACCCTACTTTGGCTTTAAAGTATTCACCATTTCTTACAGACTGAAGATATTATTGTCCTATTTTCATTCCTTCCTCAATAGATTCAACAACTTTCTGAATATATTTAATGTTTGGAATATATACAGGCTTTTAAATCTATAGTTAAATACCCTTCTGAATATATTCAGCCCTATAGATTTTATGTAATTCAAGGACTGAATATTATATAAAAGCTATACATATATTCAGAGAAGGGGTGCTGAATATATCACCCCTCTGAATATATTTAGTCTTTGAATCTATAGAGCTGAATATATTAAATATCCTTCTGTATATATTCAGGGACCTTTGGAATATATACAGTTCTCTAAATATATACAGTTCTTGGGATATATTATGTACCACTCTTCAGAATCTATACAGTATCTTTTCCCATCTATACAACAATCTTTAAATATATTCTAGGGAAAAAGTAAATATATTTAACATCTGTCTAAA